TGCATTGCAAGAAGAAGCGAGGGACTATTTCACGACATCCAACACAGTTATTTAGTACATATTTAATTTTTGAAAAGGGGTTCACAACAATTACGCTACAGTGTATATGGGAAAGTTGATTTAAGATGAAATATTGTGGTTTATTAATTCTCTCTTAAAAGTCGATAAAGTTGCCGCCTTTCGAAGTTACATGCACCCTAGACAAGATGTCACTAACCCTTTTTCTAGCATATCAGACTGGAATTTTTGTTAGTTTTACCCATGCCGGAAATTTCATCTGGCATGAGGGGTGGGTGCCAAATGAGTCGCGTGCTATACAATGACTTCATTTGAACGCATTTTATATGTGTATCGAGTTAAAATGGCATTATTGCGACGCATTTTAAAATCGAACTATGTGCTTATGATACCCGGTAGCGTCATTTCGCCGTTGGTATTAAATTTGTAACTTCATCCGCTATTATAAGAAAATAGTTATGGATGAAATTACATTAATGTACATGAACAAATTTCTTATTGAGGTAAACCATTCTAAATATGAAAGAAGATGACAGAATATGCAAGAAAAATATCTTACATATGTTTGCTGTTCAGATCGAAATATCCGTCCCTCTGGAACCCTAAGCAGTCCTCGTTACCGCCCAATGGGCGGGGCACCCTCGGCATTTATATTCCCCTGAAAAGGTTTCCAAGCTAAAATACATGTCCCGGATAACGAAACTCGAATTTAAATGTTGATACAATGTTTATTTAACGTCAAATGTTTGGCTGGATTCACATGTAATATATGATATACATCTAAAATGTAAATTTTCGTTTTAAAAAAAAAAATTTTGATAAAAATTTTGAAAAAGGGGAAACTGTCTGGTTTTTGAAAATAACAAAAATTTTTTTAATTGTTATTCATAAAAATTTAAACCCAAAAAATACCCCAATGAACAAAACATTTTAAAGGGGGTTTGTTAGGGGGTGAAGAACCACTTCACATATAAACCCGTGACATGACACTTCCTACATAGTGGTCAAATTTGACATTTTACTTTTTTCAAAGAATCTCAAAATGCAATCTTTTCTAAATCATTCAAGACAATTTTTTTATCTTGGACAACGAAAACTTGATTTATAACGCTTTTGACGATTATAAGTGACGTCTTTTATTTGACGGATGTGGTGACGTCATTAAAATGCCACGTGAATAAACTGAATCATTGTTTTAATTGACATATACTCCTATTTACTTGTATCTTAGTACGTAAAATTATTAACGACGAAGCTAACATTTTTATTGTTCAAGAGTACCGTGTCAATTGTTAGCCATCTTAAGTACATGTAACGACTTGTCGCAAGAATAGACATATACAAGTACGTGTGTCTTTGTCAATTATGACACTTAAGAAATGGTAGCAAATTTAGAGCACGCAGTATCCGGGTACGAAATATAAGCGTTAGGAGTTTTCCTAAATTACCACACCTGGTCTGCTTTGCTCAATCCTGATAACGTTGATTGAAGATATATAGAAATAATGACATAATGTTTTGAAGAAAAAAGCATATACATGTATATACATTTATCTCATTCAGTTCATTTTATACTGTAGACGTAAATATGGAATAAATCAAAGTAACAAATCTGTACAATGTATATCAAAATATTGAATCCTGAACTGTTGATATGATGCAAAACATTGCAACAGTTTGTAATTATTGTCAGTCAAACCATGTTAATTCTGGTTATTTCATCCCCTCATACATCTGCAGAAGAAGACATGTTGGGGGTGATTTGCAAGATCAAGCAAGGAATCTACATCAAATCGATTGCATGTAAGATATAAAGTTCAATAAACATACAATTTAAACACTGCCTAACTATGACATCATTTCCTTAAAGCAGCACACTCCAGGTTTTTGCGCTAATTTTCAAGAAAATTTTGAAAAAATGCTGGTCAAGCTTCGGAAAATATTCGTTTTCTTTACGAAAGTTTGTTCTGGAATAATGGTCGAAACGAGTGTCATCTGATTGGTTTTAGGACGGCGTTATTAACATACATAGTCAAAATCGTTTTACCCAAAAATGTGCGTACATGTAGAGGACATTTAGTTGTTTTGGGTAGATATGCTATGTTATATCACACCAAAAATAAGAGAATTATTTTTCACGAGCGCGTATCACACCTGGACATTTTGATATTTTATCACGTCGTTGTGTGTATGTAAACAAACAGCAAAAAGAAAAACAAAACCAGACAAAATTATAATACAGTAGGGACTACTTTACATGGATTGTACGTGCCGTATGAAATGTGTAAATTGTTTCCTTTTTTCACTTCACACTATTTTTCTCTCAAAAACATATTCATTTTAATATCATCCATTTCCCGCTTCTTTTAACAACTTAAGATGTCATATACTCAGAGCCACTTGTGACCAAAACTGGCATTTTATCAATAAACGAGTTTAACAGCAATAATATTATAATAAAACAGGCAAAATTATTACAGTTTATTTTTTTTCCTTTAATTTTATATATAACAGGACGTGATTTATACAATTTCAAGTGTCCTTACACTCATCCTCTAAACAGAACAGTTGTCTCTTACTATTTAGTTTCCGTTAAATAAAGCAAAGATACACACGTAATGTAATATCCTCCTTATTCTATTTTCATTAAAGTGTTTATTCTGATTTATATAATGTATATCAGCCCCTAGATGTTACTACATGTATATATATGGATACAGAGACATACTTGGAAAACATCTTGACACTGGAAATAAAATAACAATCGAAAGAATAAATGTGATTATCGTTCAGTAAGCCCTGAAAGTGTTCCCTGCTGCAAGGACAATATATCAAGTGTCGTAAGAACAGATGAAATTAGATTTGTCAACTCATAAATTATCTTGTAATTATCTTTCTTATAGTCTTAAAATACGTTTGAGCGAGTGTCTGACAGGGGTTGAAGCATAGCCGAAAAGGTTTATCAGCGCAGTTGTTACTTTAAAAATGAGTTTAACTGCGGAATAACGTCATAATTGAAGTGGAAAAATATTGGTGCAGTAATTGTCATTGAATCGAGAAACATACTTAAAGAACAAGATACACAATACATTTATAAGGAAATTTACGGAATCATAAATTAATACGTAGGCCACAAAAAATCGGCACAGCTATGTTCAACACTATGAGTGATCTACTCTGAGTAATATGTGTTTTATATCACTAAATAGAAACCCAGACTTTCATTTATAAGCATCAACTATTACTATGATTTGACAGAGTATTTCCTGCATATCAGACTGGTGTTTCCATAAATTTTACCCATGCCGGAAATTTCATCTGTCATGGGGGTACCAGATGAGTCGCGTGCTATACAATGACATGCTTAGGATAAAGCTTTTTCGCCGTTGTGAATGAATGTGTAATTTCATACGCTGCTGTACGAAAAACGTCATGGGTTTAATGACATACATTTGCATGGCAAATTGGTTTATTCAGGTCAAGAATCTAAAAATAGAATAGAATATCGTAGAATATGCATATCAAACATATATTACGGTTCGGATCGGAATATCAATCCCTCGGGAACCTGACGATTGACTGGTCCCCTGAGGACGGATATTTCGATCTGAACCGCAAAATATGACAGATTTTTTTTTTATCTCAAATAACAACCCAAACTGTTGACAAAAGAAAATATACGCTTAATACCGTAACGTTAAGCAACAATTGTTTCTGAAACGGTAGCTTAGTAGGCGTTCGATTAGAGATTTAATACGTTCGATTCTTAATTTACTAAACATATTTTATACAATATCTCTGTTTTTGTGTATCATTTTAAAATATCAATACGATAAAGTTAACAAAAGATAAAACCAACGTTAAATCAAAATTAACAGGTTTCACCATAAAAGCAAAATACAAAATCTTTTTCTGATTAAATCGTTCATCGCAATTGTTAATTATTCGCTGTATAGCCAAATGAATGGTAGAACAGTAAAATTCAAAATATGTGTACTTCAGAGATGAAATATGCTCAAATTGTGTAAACTTGGCATGTTGTTAGAATATGATAACAGAAACATTTTAAACGAAAGAAAATTGGAGTCACCGTCCTCATTTTCGAGTTATCTGCCCTTGAATTGGACTTTTTTGTTAAATTCAAGGGCAGATAATTTACAATGAAGGGAAACATTACAATTTTTTTTTCTTATTTTCATGAAGCTTACCTTCGTTTTAGTCAATATGCAAAATTCAAGAACCAATTTAGAGTGTATGGTTTTTTCCACTTCTTCTTTTAACCTATGATTTTTTTCCGTAAAAAATGGCCTATTTTTTAAGAATTTAAAGTACCTTTATTTTCATTGAAAAAAAAATAAGAGAAACGATTTAAGGAATTGTCTGTTATTATGAATTGTACTCAACAATAAAAAGAAAAACATAATTCAGAGTTAAAAACAGATATTCATTTAAGTATGTGCAAGTTATCTGCCCTTGAAATGACCTCAAATAAGTATAGAATTCTGATTTAAGGGCAGATAACTCGAAAAAGAGAACAGTGACCCAATTTATTTTTCGTTTAAAATGTTTCTGTTATCATATTCTAACAACATGCCAAGTTGAAAGAAATTCTATTGAACAGTTTTAATTTTATTTGTCTATATGAAAACTCCCGAAATCGTCCTTTTTACGTCATTTCACCACTTTGTTGACGGCTCATATATTTTTCAATCCCTTCCTAAGTTCATTTCTCCTCTGTCCTTTGAATGTTTCTTTTCCGTTTTAATTGCCCTAGCTGATGTTCGTAAAAATTTCGTTTTTATTTTAATTGAACTCAGTGTTGATTGTATGAAAATAGTTAGTAAAACGTTACTTATACAACAAATGAAACTAGAATCTAGAATATTAAAGTAATAACATATTAACAAACAAAAATGTAAATTGAAAAACTTGTTTACTGCACACTGATTACAATTTTAAGTAATATTTGAAATGTTCTGAAAAATGTTAAATGATTTTAATGTTTTTTTTTATAATTCAAAGAAAACCTTATCTGCATTCGTAAATTATAAACCAAAAGTTAGAATTAAGACGGTAACTAATGAACATTGCATTAGAATTTCTGCATATGCTCTATTACTCGAGTTTATAGATTCTGACTGACCATCAAGTTTGTAAATTGTAAGTTTTTCTATTTTTTGAGGGTCTTCCTTTACTTTGAAGACATAGTAGGATTTTATCAATACCTCTTTTTCAGTTTTAAATGCTGAGTACTTTTCAACCAATAATCCATACACATTTGATATCTCAAAAAGAATTCCCTTTTGGCATCCGGCGTCACCAAACTTTTTGGCCAAATCTCGACGTAATGTGGTACTTGTGATCTGATTAAATTTGAAATCACGTCCTTTTTCAGGACGATCATCCAGTGCTCTACATCCCCTGAATACAAGTTTATGCTCCGTAGGTCCGAGAATGTCAATACCCCTGTTAATTAGATCACCAGATCGTCTCCAGATATCAGTCTCTGTGGGATAGTTTTTGCGCATTTCCTTGTTTAATGTACTGTAAAAAGAACTTTGTTGTGTGTATAAGTTGACAAGTCCTATTGCATACTTTCTATCCATGGTTTCATCAGAGAATTGCAACATTTTTTGTTCTGCTGTTTGGACGTTTGATTTATAGTCTTTGAGATCCTGAAACAATTCTTTTACCTCACCAGAGTATCCGTCATCTATCGATTTAAAAGCAATGGATAACTTTAGTTGGAAACAAGTTCCCGGAACACAACATTTAAGTAAAAAAGTAAATGTAAATAACTATTTCCTGTCGATAAAAAGACTAAAATTTATATTGAACACAATAATCTTCTTATAATTATTGTCAATTTCTTTAATTAACAGTGATTACCAAATTCAAAAAGAATACAAGCGAAAATTAACATACATAAGTGATTTCGATTCCGACAAGACATATAACAATACTTTTATTGAAAGTACAAAAAACCGTATCAATGAAATATAAAAAATTATTCCGTTGCCAAAAAAAAACATACCACTTTGTACGAGTCCTAAAAAACAGCAAATGATGAAGAAAAAAATGCACTTCATTTCCCACATATTGTAACCTTCCTTCATACACACTACTTCTGTCCGTGAAATCTGTTAACGAGTGACTGCCTTTATCACGTTATTTACGCTATTAAATAAGGATATATTCTAAAATTAATTTCCTCGTATTTAAACTGCGGTTTCTGATAAAGCTTTTTAAATGAAAAGAAAAACGCAAATTGTGCACAATGACCTTAAACTTGCACAACTGCTCAGTTGTTTGCGACACGCCAACCTTTTCTGATAGGCCTGTTTATAAGTAAGAATATAAATTATGAGTTTTTCTGTGTTTCTTTTTCACTTCTTGTCAGACAGACCCGGTCATGTTACACACGTAAAAAGATAGAATTGCCTACATGCCTAAGACCTAAAACATTAACTGTAATAAAAATGAAAACAAAAATAATTGTTCAAAAAATGATTAAATGATTATTATAAGATTCTTTTTTTGAAAAATTGGAGACACGTTATTGTTCATTGATTGCACTTAGCAATTATTCCAGTGTCCGTTTTATAATCTTTCAATGAGAAATTATGGATAATCTATTAATGTTCAAATACAGTTTAGGTAAACTAAATCGCGACATTTTTATAAGAATTATAATTGACATTAGAAAACGTTGAACATCAGTATATTACAAAATAAGACGTTTAAAGTGTACTTAATATACAGACATTTAATGCAGAACTAAAAAATTTAATTGATCGAAACTTTGCATGATCTTAAAACATGGTAACAAGCGAACATAATAACCGTGCCCGTTTCGGCTCATGCATGTCTGAAACAGTTTTCATCCTGCCTTGTTAAGTTATGAATGCGTCAGATGTAAACTGATTCTCAGTAAACGTAGCGAAGTCTATCAATTCAATCAAATTTAACATTAAATAAGATTCTAAAAAAAAGTTTGTCATGAACATAAAAATTTTACACAAAATATCAGGTAGACATGTATATACATGTATACAGGTAATGTAATGTGTCTTCTTGTTTCTTCGTAAAACTACCGCGTTTTAGACATTTCTATCTTGAGAAGTTAACATCTCAATTTTGTATTAAAATAGGCACATTACAAATAAATTAGTCAAAAAGTGATATTGACTTTTTTGTTAAAATGTTTCAGATAAGGTTTTTGAATACTTTATCAAAGAGATAAACTTGACGTCTAGTGGTAGCGACAATCACTGAAATAATGATATAAGTGAGCTTCTTAAATGTTAGTAACAACTTAATTCTTCTTGTCATTAGAATGATAAAAATAATATATCCAACCAATGACATTGTTTTATCTTTATACATAATTATATAACGGTACTATTCAATAGACTTAGATGTAAGACAATAGTGTAAAACTGTTCCGAAATGAATTATAATTTTACGCAGGGATTATACATAAGCCCACCGCTACAATGTCAAGGTTAAACTTAAAACTTGAATTTTTCATCTGTATCTCGTTGATGCAACCGTTGGGTCAATTTTCTTTTATTTCTCATGCCTCTTATCTCACGGTTCAGTTAACATCAAGCATAGGCGGAATATTACTTTCAGTGTCAAATCGAAACTAAGTTGTTGCGCATCAAATAACTGATAGTTAACTTTTGTCAAAAAGCTTTTGTTTGTTAAAAAGAACTTGTATGCATCTAACTGCAGACTATCAATTTAACATCTACAATCTTCCGTTATTTAGACCTTAATTTTTTTTGATTTCGTCGCGTCACGGGAATAGATGACAAAAACTTCTTACTTAAACATTTGATTTAACCTTTAAAGCAACCTTACTAAATTACTAAACACAATACATGAATGCATGATATACTATCAAATGAAACTCAAAAAGAAGCAACAACTTGACTGTATAAAAATTTTGTATTTAAAATTGAAACGTTTTAATACAATTCAAATGTGTCTGATTTGTGCACTCGAATCTTTCCAGTTTGAAATTACCCACAAAAGGGAAAGTCTCGTATATCTCTTTATTACTTTTAAATTTGTTTTGTTTTACAACATTAAAGCGTAAAAGGCTATATGTCTAATGTCTGTAGTTTTCAAAATAATTCGTTTAATTTGAAAAAGAAAACTTCGAAAATACCTTTCTGAAAGAAATATTTGTATGTAACTTTACCTGCGAATTGCGCATGCACGAACTCATTGCTAAATTATCATTTTTTGTTCTGTGACATTGCATTCAGTTTATATACAATATTCATGCGTGTTAGTCTAAAATTTACTTCCTGCTTTAATCTTTAGACGGAAGATTTAAGGCAAGGCTCTTTCCTCCCCGGATAAAATAAGACAGGTACCGCAAAAAATATACTATTTTTATTTTAAGTGTAATATAAGAGCACACTTTAAATCGGTATATCGCGTGAAGCTTTGTTGATATTATACTTGTTTTATTATGACGTTATACAAACTGAATACATGTAAGTTTCTACTATATGATTTACAGGACATATAAAAAACAAAGAAGAACAAAAAGAATTAAGAATTTGTTTATTTATCAGTACGTTTTAGATATCTATCATTTGTGCAAAGTTATGCCCTCTCATTACTCTAAGGTCAATTTCTTAAAAACGTCAATTTCTTAAAAACTGCTTTAGTTAAGACTTGTTCAAAATTGGAATGCATTTCTAAAGAGCTGGTTACTTCTTCTGTCAGAAATGCCCCTGTATGATTTTGAAATTTTTGGTTCAACTTAATGTTTTGTTTTGTTCAGGAACACGTCTCAAAACGAACCAAAGATATTCATTTAAACTTTGAGTACTTGTTCAGCATCAAACCTGTTTCTCTAAAGAATATGGGTAAAATAAGTAACCAGGTGTTCGTGTTAGATATCTAATACCTTGTCTTAAAGTGACTCTAAGAATATAAACTATTTAGTGTAATAAAATTATTTAAGATAGTTGAAGTAGAACGTTTTCAAATATTGATGAAAGAAAACGATAACCGGATTAATTCGGTGAGTACTGACGGTGACAATGCAACATCAGAACGCCACAAATGAAAGATGATCTCCATGTAAGAGAATTCTTTGGTGCTTCAATTATATGCCACTGTTTTATGTTTTGTTATGTTTTTAAGTTTTGTTGTTTCTGTGACGTCTTCTTTATCATATAACAATACAGTTTAATCTCTATGAATATTTGTGAGGAAACATACCTAATAAAATGACATCGACAAAGTTAGTTGTTGGTGCTATAGACTTTGGGACAACATATTCAGGATATGCATTCTCCTTTGCACACGACTATGAAAAAGACCCAATGAAAATACAAGCAAACCATTGGATTGGTGGAGGACACATGTCACTTAAGGTACTCATCTTATAACTACAACTACTTATTAAGAGAACACAAAATGAATAAATATATACAAAAACATTGCAACAGTCGTGATTTTATTGGTGTTTAACGATATGCAGCAATCCAGACCATCAAACAATAAAGATATATTTCAATATAAGGAAATACGACCGAATGATATTCTTGTACAATAACAATTTACGACTGTCTATAGTCTTACAATTTCGCGTAGTGACAGATAACCCTTGAGTAACTACATAAAGTTAATGCTTTAATATAGATGAAACTTTTTCATGAAATATTTTAGTAAGTCTCTCTGTTAATTTTCATAGAAGAACAAAAGTCGATACTATGTGAAATTCTGTTCATAATCGCCTTCTATTATTCATAGTACTTCATAGAACCGAGTTCGTACTAATGGTCTTGGGGTAATAAAGAGAATATTAATGAAGCCAAGTAAAACTTGACACTAAGTATGTTAGTATTTATACGTATCTGTTCTAAAGAACTTAGAAACATTTCCAGTCGCTATTGATCCCGTCGAGGTTTTTCATCTCTGAAGAACAGCACAGATGAAAACTAACATATACATACTCTTAAGATTTGAGAAAATACTTTTCTTAAGATCAAATCAGCAGAGTTAAGCAAAAATGGTTCCGGTTATATCACTCTTATGAAATTAAAGCAAACATAATTAACAGTTAGCAAGTCTAGCAATGCCATACAATCAGAACAAAGTGTATTCATTGCCATATACTTTATGATAATTGTCCTAAAGTAAACAACCGTGAACGAGTACGTAAACGATTTCTGAACGGAATATTTTTAAAGCAGTAAGACAGAATTCAGAATTTTTTTTCTTTCGTCTTTGATAAATATGTATACAGTAAATAATTTTCTCTCATTATGATACGATATTTTTAATATACACAAAATCATTTTGACGTATATATTATATAAAAAATATGTGATCTTGAATACATGTAGGGGCTTCGATAATATCATTTTTATTCCCCTTGTTCAATATATTTAGTATACAGCTACACGAATATAATATCATTTTATAAATTACCAAAATTACTGTTAACAGTCAACGGAAGTTTTATCATTGGGCACCTTCACTGTTACGCCAAAGTCGCAATCTTTATTTAACAAAAATGATGACACGTTAAATCAATGGATATATGACTTATTCTAAAAAGAAAAAAACTGGTGTTTGATGTGATCAAGCTTTTTTGCCAAACTAGCTAATTATGAATTTTAAAAACATTTGTCCAATGGCATAAAACTGTCACGAAATCGAAGCCACGGTCAGTAGAGAAATGTCTTATCCTTTTTTAATATTTGCAAAAAGTGGTCGTAATAATAGCAGAGCAACAGGAAAAATATAACTTAAAGTCCTTTACCAATTTAATTTATTTAAAATACATGTCTAAGTTATTTTACATTTATTATGCTTGATAATCGTTCATGCTATTTTATTCAAAATTAAGGAAATGCAGCCGATATGTTTATATGATTTTCAATGTAACATTTTCGTGTCATTCAATAAAAATGGTCTAAAATAAAATAATGTGTGTGTCCTTAACGAAAAAACAAGTGGAGCTGATCAAAGGTAGAACATAAGGGATTATAAAGCCTATCTGTCAAACCGGACCTGAAACTGGTTCAATGTTTGCAACTTGTGAGACATTCCATAATTTAATTTCACTTATATATTTTCAGGCTCCGACAACAATTCTCTTTACACCTGAAAAAGTTTTTCATTCATTTGGATATCAAGCAGAAGATAAATACGCTGATCTTGCAGAAGAAGACATTCACAAAGATTGGTATTACTTTAGAAGGTTTAAAATGATTCTACATCAGCAAACGGTATTTGTCACTCATCTTCTAGTTTGATACTGCTGTTTAGCAGATTTTCTAATGTTGTTTGAAATATACAAATCAACAAAACCTGCTAAATTGCTACATCGTTTAATTCTCCCCGTCATTATTTTAAGAATCAATCTTTAAAAGAAATCACATTTAAATAAATGTAATTTTGTGATATATGAAAATCAGAATGTTATACACGAAATTGTACTATATGTTCGTAATTTTATGAACATCAGACATTGTCAAGAAAAACATTATTGTATGACGAAAACAAGAAAGCGATGACGGCTTTACATGTCTTCTCGTCTGCGATAAAATTTCTTAAAGACGATCTTTGCGATGAAATATCAAAGAAAATGACAGGATTTGAAGAACGGGATATTTTTTGGGTGCTGACTGTACCCGCGATATGGACTGATGCAGCTAAAAAGTTTATGAGAGAGGCTGCTGTAGAGGTGAATACTTTTATTTTTGAGAACCAAATTTGTCTGTTCAGACATATTCTAAAATTCTAAAAGTTGTAAAATAAAAATGGGCGTAATTTATAGGTTTTTATATTGACATTTTAATTGTACTCGCATATGGTAAAATTATACTTACTGTTAAATGTTATTCGTTTTTTTGACAACTACTTTTAAATATATATCTTATTTTACGTCACACAAGTTAACCCTGTGAATAATAATAAAAACATTCTGGAAACAAAGTGATCCCTCGGAAGCATTAATCTCAACAAAATAACATAAGAATTGCAGACTCGGTTTGATTGAGTCTGTACATGAGGGATAATGAATAAGTGCAACATCCCTCACGCCCCCTATCACCGGCTTGGGCGGTACTCAATTCCCAACAAATTATAGTGTTGGCATCGATGATCCCGAATGACCAGAAAATATAACAACACTGAAGTGAAGTACGGGGCAACTTTTTACGGCTGCCACATGGCACTTGACACCTGCTGTTGTGATGTACAAAATTCTTGGAACAAAGTGATCCCTCGGAAGCATTAATCTCAACAAAATAACATAAGAATTGCATAAACATTTTTTGAATAACCATTTTTATTTCACAGGCTGATATTAAGTCAGAATGTCTATCCTTAGCACTAGAACCTGAAGCCGCCTCTGTGTTTTGCAAATTACTTCCGGTCAACTGTCTTAAGCTGAACAGTTCGAAATTCGTTGAGACGTTTAAGCCAGGAACAAGTTACATTGTCCTTGACCTTGGAGGTATGTTGATAAGAGATAAGATCTTTCGTGCGGTATTTATAATACACAAAGTATGTCATGCAACAAAGAAAGAAAGCGAAACATTATGTATAAAATTATCTATTAGTACTATTAAAATATAATTATTATAATGATAATGATGGTGATTGTAATAATTATACAATGTCTTTAAAAACAATAACAAATCAAGCGATGTAAAATCTCGATAAAAGATTTTCTGGTCTTTTACATTTTACCTGAGAAGGATTATCCCGGGTGTGTAGATATAACGACATTAAATCCTCCATACGGTGCGGTATTTGACAAATTAGGAAAGAATGCAATTCTCTACAAGTCCTTTAAAAGATAAATGATCAAATTTCTTTTGAAAGACCCTGTTCTATCTTAATTCTATGGAGCATTTTAATTGATAATTTATAAGAAATATATAAATACATGTGTGTGTGTGTGTGTGTGTGTGTGTGTTTGTGCGTGCGTGCGTGAGTGCGCGTTTTGATTTTTTTTCTCACTTCCACTTGTGTATCTATTCTTATGAAACTATCCGGAATATAATTATGTATTATAAAGTTTGACTTTGTGGGAAGGGCTGCTGCTAATGTTGTATTAACTTGTAGCCCAACCCATTTGCACTATACTTATATGTACATTTGTTTTTGTTTCTTTGTGTGTTATTCATATCTTACATGTATTATATAGTTGCAATAAAATATTATTAAACTAAAAGATAAATGATAATGATGTTGGTTGTTATAGTTATAATTCTTTCAAATAAGATGATCAGGAATTTTAAACAGATTATATTGCATTGCAGAATTATACATTAAACTACTTCAGTAAATGTTGAATAATTCTTTTGCACGTCTAAGAAAATTGACTAAATGGACACAAACTCTAAAAGCGCTCTATGTTTTCTTTCTTCTTATCTTCAATCTATAATATGCAATTACGTTTATATTATTTATCTTTTAATGTTCAAAACTTTACCGTAATATTTTCTGCTGTTAGTTTTCTGTGACAAAGTTTCCAAAGTAAAAATATGTGTGTATGTATACTTTAAGACTATTGATTAAGCAAAAACAAACATGCCTTAATTAGTGTATAAACAAATCAAATACCAGTTATGCAAAATAATTATTTGGTGAAAAGTATATTTTTTGTTGAAACGCTGATTGTGATAAAAGTATTGAAAGAAACTTTTTTTTAATTTCTGATGCTGGCATGAATTTTTTCTGATATAATTGGAAAAAAAAGTCTGTAGCCTTAAAGATGATATAGTTTGAAGAACTTGAAGGACCCTTTATGATAAGAATAGAAACGTCAATATTTTTTTCAGGTGGCACTGTTGATGTGACTGTTCATCACTTAGAGTATGATGGAAAGCTTAGTGAGATCGCTCGTGCAAGTGGCGGTGCATGGGGTGCTACTCAAGTTGATGAAGCATATTTAGAATTCCTTGAAGAATTGTTTGGTAGATGCGTTTTCCAAGCTTTCAGAGAAAACAACACAAGTGATTTTCTTGAGATGTTGAGAGAATTTGAAATAAAAAAGAGACTTATAAATACAAAGAAAGAAGGCAAAATTGTAATAAGATTCGCAGCCTCACTTTCGGAAACATATAAAGAAAAATGCGGGAAAACTCTTGCTTATCACATATTACCAGGACATCTAGGATCTTTTGTCCAATTAAAAAAGAATAAAATATTGGTTGATGCAAACGTAATGAGGAAGTTCTTTTCGGAATCGATCAAAAATACAAGCATTCATGTAAGAAAAATTTTGGAAGAGAACGAATTAAGAAAAATCGATACGTTATTGCTTGTTGGGGGATTTGCTGAATCGGAAATAGTTCAGGGGAGCGTGAAAGAAGCATTTCCAAACAAAAGAATCATCGTACCTAGCGAACCTGGTTTAGCCGTTTTAAAAGGGGCAGTACTGTTTGGCCATAATCCTTTGGTTATGAAATCAAGAATAAGCAAGTATACTTACGGAACGGAGATCATTCGTCCTTTTGTTGATGGCACAGACCAAGAGAAATACAAAGTTTTCGAAAATGGCATATACAAATGCAGATATAAGTTTTTTCCATTTGTTCAAGCTGGTGAAATGGTTCCCGTCGGTACGGTTGTCAGAAGGTACTGCATTTCAGATACTTTTGATGTTGAAGAAGGAGTTGGAATATATGCCTCTACAAAAGAACATCCCAAGTACGTCGTTGATGACTGCTGTTTCCGGGTTGGAACAGTATACTTTGATGAACCTCGTCAACACTTCATGGCTGAAATGCATTTTGGAGAAACAGAAATCTGCCTGAAATGCATTTTTGAATCAGGCATTAAAAAGACTGTGGAATTTGACTATTTATGTACATAAGAAATTATAAGGGTATGTGACTGTTGTTGTGTGCAAAATTTTTTACTAGTACTAGTATGTCCTAGTGAAATTTTCTTTTTATCAAACAAAGGTTTTCAAAGAAAAATATATATGTGCATACAGATGTTAAAGAAATAAAAAAGTAATATTCCATGATATTTTACGCTTGTGCTTCACAAATAATAATGACACGACATAACTTATGGAACAGAATTAGTGCATTTATTCCATCTTGCTTACTTACATTATGCTTGCTTCCATACTTCTTTATGACAATGGGAACCTACGTTTTGTCGTATACAATCTTGCATTATGATTACTTTATGCATTATTATGTAATTGCAACTCCATGTCTTCCTTTCTGAACCATCAAACTCACATATTTTAATATGCTATATGTTTATTTTCATCTTTTATTTAGGACAGCGTATTATGTTCGGTGTTTAAAAGAACATTCTTTCCTTGTTCATGATTTAAAAAGAGAATCTTTCGGTACTTTTAATTTGTTATAAATCTGCCACTTACATTGTCGACACTATTTCACAATTAATAATTGATTTTGATCAATACTTGGCGAATTTGATGTGTCTTAGCATTCATATATTTCAATATATTCACTGATTACAAATGAAATGCCATACATCATCACTGCGCATCGACAACGAAGATGACAACGATAGATATTATAGTCGCATGTTACAGCACGCACTAAGCAGTTGACAGTAAGCATACTGCGAGTTGCAATATTTTGTTTTCATATTATGACTAATGGTGTCGCTGTGTCGATACATCCCGTTACTTTCCGGATGGTCCCGCTCTTTTTGCACGTGGAGTAAACAAAGTTACGTCCCCTTTATATAGGGGCGTATACCGTACAGTGTTAGTTGGGGGTTGACATGTAAGTGGAAGATTTTGAGAAAAACAATAGAAAACGATGTGACAGGGGAAAAGTGCGTGTTTTTGAAGATTCAGCATGTAATAGATGTCTCTTATAACTCATTCTACAAGTGACAAAACACCTCTCATACAATGTTTATACACCTTTTTGAGTGTGTGCCGAAGTCCTATGTACAATAGTGAAATTGAATTTAAAGATTATTTGAAAATATTGATTGTTGCTTCACAGTCTGTTTGTAATATAAAATAAATAGCATTTGGCTTCACACAAATATGTTACTTTAAATCCTATATACACTATAAGTGGGCACTATGAATATAGTGCTATTAAAATAATATGGCAGTTTTTTAAGAAGACACAACTTACTTGACCCGTAATATAAAGGAAAGCAGATTCTTATACATTGTGTGTAGGTGTTTTTATTTAAATAAGACATATTCAGTAAGAATCTTATATATTTCAATAAATTTCTGTAATAAAAATATATTAGTGAAATATGTGCATAGTATATCTTTAAGCACAAATGGATATGAATGTGGTGGTGTGTGAGGGGTGTCTGTGACACAGTAAATTGGTGACTAATAGGCCCTTTAGGCTGTGTACTATAATCATTATATATATATATATATATATATATATATATATATATATATATATATATATATATATATATATATATATATATATATATATATATATATATATATATATATATATATATATATATATGCTCATTATTTGTAATTGGCTAAATATGCACATGTCACAATAATAAACAACTTCCTTCTTTCCTTATTATATATTGTACTGCGTAACACACCTATTCGCCACTATTAGTGACTCTGAGACATTTGGAAAGTTAATAGGCCAATAAAAATTGCCTTTTTAAGGTTCAAGTCATTAGATAAAGACCTTTGCAGCACCTAGACAGGTGCTTAACAACTGGATGACAGCATTTTATGTTTTGATAAGGGAGTACACTATGACCAATTTGGCATGAAACTGACACGTATATATTCCATCCGAGCTCATGGACGTATCTTTTGGCTGAGCTGGGGGCTATAAGCCCTTAAGCCAGGGCCTGAATCCGCCACTGTATAACTGCCCCATTAAATAACTGTTCACGAATATATTTTTCTATCAGACTGCATACATATATAAAATATATTGCATAACCTTTTCCTACTTATATTTATATTCTTTCCTGGGCAATTTATATATTTTGTGCTTGGTATGTATTTATATACACGCAAAATGGTCACTGCAGTTTGTGTACGGAAAATACCGATGATAGGCGAAATGTGGAAAAATTCCGTTGATCTCGATAACAGAGTTCTCGCCCCTTAACAGTTCACTCTCGTTACACATTGTTTAAATTGTTTATATATATTGTAAGATGATCAAACATAATCCACAAAGCATCAGACACCGAGCTTTATTTAGCATAAACACTGAATATAATGGAAATTAGCGAAAGGTAATAGTAATCACGCCATGCGAGCGATAAATCATATAAGTCACACTTTAACAAAATCCATCGTATAATTTAAGGTGTACAAAAAGAAATAGGGAAGAAGAATAGTCGATTTTAAATCACTTCTACATAAAAGTAATACAAAAAAGAACTAAACCATATATAGTTTGTAAAGAGCATGAAGAAAGGTAGCTTATACATAAAGGTATATGACGTTAACATTTTAATATTCCTAAACAGTACAATGAATGGCTTGTGCAAGTTTAATAGTTATAACTCAATGATAGAATTAGTCACTACGAAATTTTTAATGAAATAATGAAACATAGAATGCAGCTTCATGCAAAGTTTAGATATCACAAAGCAAGATGGAATCAAGCATAATGCAAGTTCTAATGTCATCAAGCAAGATGAAATCAAGCAAAATGCAAGTTCTAATGTCATCAAGCAAGATGGAATTAAGCATAATGCAAGTTTAAATATCATAAAGCAAGATGGAATCAAGCATAATTCAGGTTCCAATGTCATCAAGCAATAGAATAAATGTATTAATTCTGTTCCATTATAACTGGAATATATAATCCGGTATAGAGTTGCTAAATCTTTTACAGATACCATTACTTAATGATTGGATATATTGGTAAAATATGAGCACCTAAAAAGAAAACATTACTAAACGATATAAGTTATTTAATGTCAACTTTGCTAGGACGGATAACACTCAATACTTATGTTTGTAATGCACCTGGTAGTAAATGAACAGGTTATATTATCCAAGCCTGCAACATTTTCAATTTTACCGTGTGCTGGGCTTTCTTATTTTTATGTTTCACATATTTAAATACAAAATATACTTAATGTATTGAAATGTTTTAGAATTTTACAAGAGCATGATACAGGTGCGTGTAAGACTATTATTATTATTTTTTATTTATACCTTCTATTTCTCTATTTTATCGCCACATGATTGTACCGTAGTGAGGCCGTTTTATGTCGCCCCGTACATACACAATCAGAAACGTAATATATCCGATAATTGAAGACGTTCAACAAGACATTTTTGTTGGGTTTGTGGTACTTTTAGTTATTTCTATTTGGCTTTATCAAGTTAGATGGTTCCATTATTTTCTTACCGGAATAATATTTAATCACCCTTAGGATATGTTGCTGCTTTTTTCCAGTTTTGAAATACTGGAACCACCCAACTAAAAAGACCAAATAAAAGGTACCACACACATTCACACACAACAATAATGTCATGCTGAACGATCTTTATAGTTCGAAAATATAACATCTTTGATTATTTGTTCGGGCGATTTCTTACGGAGCTAGGAACCTTTGAAGCCGCCAAAGCTCAAAAAGAACCTCCTTATTACCTTATTTGTGAACATAAAAGTTGCCTTAATTTATAAAAGAGCAATACGTTCGTCAAATTAATAGTAAACGTCAGCTTGATAATGATCAAAATGGTTCGAATAAATTTCGCCAAGTTTTATTAGTAACTGTTTGATAATGATCAAAATGGTTCGAACAAACTTATGCGAGTCTGCAATTTCCTTGTTACTTTGAGTATGAATAAACTACAGATAATGATTAAGAAGGTCCGAATAACTTTCGGAAAAAACGGTCCCAGATGCAAATAAGTAAAGTGTAAATAAATACAGCTATTGTTATGAAGAAAACATGACACTTAAATTATATTCCACTGAAATGCACTTGATGTTTTGAAGGCCATGTAACATTTTATGTAAACATGAAATTAACACAATATTGTAAATAACTTAAACACGGGCTTATTGCCATGGTTACTCAATCAAACTATAGACTTAATATGTTCTTGTAAACATTGTATGAATATGCGGATAAGTGCGCGTTATTGCTAGAAAACAAACCTGTGGTATCTATTATAATATCTGTAGGTTTCAACCACCACCCACTCTGAGCTAGAATGCAGCAAAAGCAGAACGGACCACATATTTTATTTCGTTTCAACTAAATCAAAATGCCAATTGAGCTTTGGTAAAATGCTACCACAGGTCTGTTGAGTATCAATATTATCCCACCGACTGCTCATTTTTGGGAAAACCTCATCAAATGTCATATATGGCCGTTGTATTGTTACACCACTTGACTGCATTTTTTTTCCATTAAAACTAAGGCCTTTTTATCGCTCATTTTACCCAATATGGTACTGACGATCCTACAACCAATGTCACTGAAAGTATATGAATAAACTGAAACATAAATTGCAAATTTACTTGTAATTATATTTGGTATAGGTGTCAGGAGCACTTATAATGACGTCATGCTGGATGTCCGTTGAATCTAAATACGATGCGGCCCAATACGAAAACTGTGAGAAAGTAAAATCTTTATTGACGAGAAACCAAGCTACGGTAAACACTTTCTAAAAAACAAATAAAAATTCAAATATAGTTACGCTATGATTGTTTGCATGGCAAAACCAAAGTTGAAAAGGTCCTAATGTCCAGATATGACGATATGGCTTTAATGGGCATCGCTGTCGTTTTTATAGTTATCACCTGTAGTGGGCCGCATACGTTATTTTTCGACTTTCCAAAAGGTGCAATTTGCAATCTTGGTGTCATTAATTCATTGTAAACTTAAATCTGATTTGTATAAAGAGTATTCCAAGGAGCATCTAGTTCGTTTATGTGAAACAAGCCAAATAAGCCTACAAAAAGGTGCGCAAAAAAGACACGTTTCATACCAAGAGGAGATGACGGAATTAAGTAGCAAGCAACAGTTATCCTGCTTTTCAATAGTTATGGGAAACCTGACGTCGGCATTAATTTTTACGCTTATAGCCACCCACTATTGTTTAAACGTAAAACATACGAAATATAGTGAATATTACAAAAGTAACTAATTTTGTGTTAAGAAATATGCCATTTGAAGCTGAGAATTCTGTTATTTGCTAAAAGATATCTAGAAGATGCATACGAACGATCGCTGGTTATTTGTCTGATTTTGATTAAATGGTCATCGAGACATGTTGTCACAACGAATAAAGATTTTTGTGAACAAAATATTTGCGCACCAAAGGGCAAGCACTTACCAAAGAAATATTTGCCTTTGTGCTTCATACCTTGGTGTTCAAAATCGTAGGATTTATAAGTAATAACCAATGGGTTGACTAACTATAAATTTAAGCTAAAAGGGTGTGTCTCCCGAAATTTTACAGTATGATAACGGTCTCATCAATATGTGTTAACTGGACTGAGCTTAGTTCTAACTGTGAAGAGTTAAAAGTATGGTGAATGAATAACCTAACTTCGTTTGTCTCTTTTTTCCTACCACATCTACCAGAGAAACTCTAAAATTTAAGAATGGGGGATCATTAAACGGGCCATCCATTCTCCCTAACTCAACATTTTTATGTTTACTAAGTTCAATAGACACAAGATCAGGGTTCTTGAGGACGGACTTGAAATTTCTGGTTCGATCAAAATAGGAAACAGACAATAAGTAAGAAAAAGCGTCCGCAATCTCTATACCTATACTTTTAATTGGTAACGTTCTGACTCCTTGTTTTAAGCAAAATGTTTATTGGCTATGAGCCTGACGTGAATCTGTCACTTTAAAGTTTTGAACTGAAATGCATGTTGTGTTGCTTAACTGGTCCGATAGGTGAAACAATAAACTTTTGAAAGCAAATTAATCAAGCAGTTTGAGCAAGTGATAAAATCTTCACTTTTGTGCAAATAGGGAAATAACACTCGTTAAACCTAATACAGGGTACTTGCAGAAATGATGGTTCCTGTTTTGACCCAAACCTGTTTACTAGAAGGGATATGCGTTTTTAGAAAAGTCATGACTTTCAGCAGGGATCGAATCTAAACTATACAGCATATAGATATGTTCCTTCGAACATATGCGAATACTGCTCGGCTTAATTCCATTCGTAGAACTACTGTCTAAGTGAATACGACAATGTTGTTTAAAAAGGTTCATAAGCAGCATTTGTATTTCTAAAATGAATATCTAAAGATAATTTAAAGACATCGCATATTGTTATTTATATTTTCAATTTGCACCGTAAATTCTTGAGCAATTTTAAAGGAAATTGAAAAATATGTGCCTTCTCCCAATCGGTTAAAATTTCCCGTAGGATTTATAATAAATTTAAACCAATGCCTGACATATTTTCTTAAAACGTAGCTCCGAAATTCAGTATGTGGCTATTTTTTGGTGATTAGTTTAGTGAAGAGTAAAGTACTGCTGAAATAAAATAACTAACCTGTTGTCTTTATTCCACAGATTTTTATCACAAAAATTATTTAAAATGTGTGGAATCAATTGGAATTCTCCCTACTAACATTAGTTATAGTTCTAGACACAAGTCGGTTACTTGAGGGGATTCAAATGCGCGAGTCAATTAGTGCAAAACGATACGTTAAGGCTGCTAATTCTCGGTAAACAGACTTTTAAATTGGTAGTTTGACTTGTTTTAAGGCGAAATTTTATTGGCAAATTGAGCCTAATTGAATCAGCAAATTTGAATAAGTTGTGTTTGTATTTAAGTGAAAAAATGTAATTTTAAAAAATAATCAAGCGTTTAGCTGTAAATTTCTTTTTTGATAAAAATGATTGTAATAATAGGGGTGCAAATGATGGTTTGTTTGACAAACCTGCTTTAACTGTGCTAGACGTTGTTAAAAATCCTATTTCGAGAATGGTCGTTCAAACTTAGCCAGCGTTTATAGGATTGCTGTTCCTGACTCATCCCGTTAATGCCAGGCTAAACAGGGCGAAAGACTCCTGTTACGGAACATGTAGTTTTAAGACTCAAAAGAGGTTTGTTCGTGGACGGTGCAATTCCGTAGATGAATAACGCATCGATCTTGGTTTTATGTTGTCAATTCTGGTAAAGTCCGCCAGAGCGATTTTGGAGGCATTAACATAATATCAAAATTTATTCGAAGATTAATTTAAACATTGCATATTTTCAAGATAATTTAATTCTATTTATGTATATTCTTAGCAAATGTATTCTCAGAAATAAATTAAAAAATCCTATGCTAATTGCCACGCAGATTTTTATTATCATATTTGTCACATGTTGAAGACATAGCGTTCTCAAATAAGTAAAATCAAGGTCGCCATTGTTTACAACACACATGAAATCTACAAACGATGACTTCTTACGAGTGGCAAGTCGGCCCTTCAAAAGAATTTGTCAATCTTTGATGTTTACACACATATGTAGTCCCTGCTGTGTCAAAGGTACCGAAACTCAACTGACTTGCACTTATTTCTTTATAGATCAGAAGTTAAAAAAACTGTCAAGAAGAAATTACATTGTGTTGTTGAAAATATTTTATCGGATATTATTAGCGGGCCAATTATTGACATACCTATGTAATACAAACTATAATTAATCGTATTAGGTTTAAACGAATCTGGTACAAACGGAGGAAGAAAGCAATTTACTTATTTAATCGGCTCCAAGAAATGTTATAATAACATTGCTGTCTGCTTTTAAAAAAGCATAATGTAGACAATAAAGTTTGTAAGAAACTATTGCTATCCAAGAATTTAATGTAAATTAACATATTCTTGTTGAATTATGATAACCGGAAAAAAAAACTGTGGTCTTTTCACTTCTATATAATAGTATGTTGCTAGAATGACTTAAACATACAATATCTTAAATAACAAATTTGTATTCATAATAGCAATCATGTGTTTTTCTATTTTTCATTGATTTTCAAAAATGTTATCTAAATGTTTTGATTTATATTGATAAACAGTCTGGTATCCATCCACTTTAATGTGTTGTGCGCATGTTCCAAAATACGCATTCCATTTTCTGCCTTAACAAAATTGCCTGTGAAAAATAATGCAACCATGGCATCATTCGTTTGTTGTTCCTGTGTTCCAATAATGCCCATATGTTTACAACGTCATTAAAAACACATTTCAAAAATGTCTTGGTCATGTCTTATTTTGTGGTTTTTGATTTGTTTGAACGGTGCTCTGTCTTCTAGTGTCTACTTCATTTATTTGCTTCTGCATTCTTAGTTTTAACATGGCCATTGCCAAGGAGCGGATTTTTGTCATGGTCTGCATGTTCATATGTCTTTTATGTCTTGATCCGTATTCCTTCTCCCCTTGAACAAATTCACTGAAATAAATGAAAATACAACAAATGAGCATCGTTTCAGAAGGAAAAGTAATTGTTTGGCTGCATTTATGCGTCAGTAACACTAAAATATACTTTTAATTAGTATTTTGTTAACATATGTATGATGATAATATTTTGAAATATATTTTGTTAATTCATTTGTCAATGTACTTAGACTAATAGTATTCAATAATTTGTGAAACAAAATAAAGGGAGTAAAACGTAGTATATTGACGCTTTATAAAATGAGCCGCGTCATGACAAAACCAACATAGTGCGTTTGCGACCAGCATGGATCCAGACCAGCCTGCGCATTCGTGCAGACTTATCAGGATCCATGCTGTTCGCTATCAGTATCTCTACTTGTAATAGGGTTTGTAAGCGAACAGCATGGATCCTGATCAGACTGCGTGGGATGCGCAGGCTGGTCTGGATCCATGCTGGTCGCAAACGCATTTGGCTGGTTTTGTCGTGACGCGGCTCAAATATAGCGTATTAATATTGTGTAATTACCTATAGTCTATGCTCCCGTCTGAATTAGTATCAAGTCTTGACATTAGTTCATCTATTTGGTCGTCGTCAGCTTCAATTTCCATCTCCTGTAGATATATCAAGTACAATGCAAAAAGGGGAAAAACGATTTTAAATATAGCTAACAGATGAGCGCTTCTTTCATAAATAGAACTCCTTAAATAATTAACATATTTATTGTACGAAGAATAAGAAGTAATAATAACACTAAACCACATTCATAAAAGTAAGTAAATATTTCACTAATCTCTCGGAACTTGTGAATTGCATAATTTTATCCATTTTGTAAGTCTGTTCACATAAGTTATAAGAGTCGAAGCTTTAGAACTTAAACAATGACAGCGAAATTTGTTAAATCTACATAGACCAATTTCAGATTTTTATCAAAAGAGATTTTAATATAACGAAAGACGAGTATATAAAAAAGTCTTCTTGCTGTCTGTATGTCTGTCTGTCTTTCTTTCTTTCTTTGAACGCTTAAGATGTATGATTGCGCTATTTATGTCGTGAACACTATGAGACTTTCATTTTTCATATATTTATTTATTTTTAAAGTACCTGCAAAATAACAAATCAGCAAATTCTTTCCCGAGGATATATATTCAACACCCATTTCAGTTAATCATTTATATCCCTATTAAAATTTGTGATAACAACAATTGATGAAAATAAAAAAATGTTGATGAAATATAAAATCTTGTGATTATATCTTTGCAAGTGCATTACAATTAGAATATCCTATTCAAATTGTATTTTTATGTGAATACTGAACCATAACTTCTCTCTTTAAAAAAATATATCTTTGTTCTTCTTCACACTTCACTTGATTGTAATTATAATATATCAGAATAAAATTTAATCATAAAAACCCACCAGTAATCCATTTTTAAATTCTTCCCTATCAACGACCATGTTATTATCTTTGTCCATTCTCATTAAGAGGTCAAGTGTCCGATATCCGTGCTCATATTTGAATTCAAACATTAACTCGAGCGGATCACGTGGTGGTAATGGCGGAGGAACATAAGGTTTTTCAGGCACATTACGCACTACTTTTCCGTGATTAACATGGAAATGTTTTATTTCCCCCTCAACCGCCTTTTAAACATTTCGGCAAAATCTTTATCCCCTGAAAAACATCCCGCAAAAATTTTTCAATATAAATACATTTAAAAAATCAGAATTTAGCATTTAATTTTTTTATTTAAAAAAATTGAGTAAAAAAATCAATGAAAAGTAAAGCCCGCCCACAATAGGGCGGTCAAATTTTATTTAAAAATTTTCAAAAAGCAAAAACTTAAAAATTTTTGTACACGTTTTTTTCAAAATTCGTTTTAATGTAAAAGAGTAAATTTTAGTATTCTTACAGGTGCCAGAAACAGGTAGGGTTTTTTTTTTTGAAAAAGAAAAAAATTTGAAAAATTTTATTTCTTTTAAAAAGTATTTGTAACAGTTTTTTTAAAAAAAGTTTATGGAAAAAAATTTTTCCACGGGGGGTTTTAATGTTTTGTACAAAAATTTTATTTTGGGAACCTTTTTTGCAAGCTATTTTTTAAAAACAATTAGGGGGCGGGTAGTTATTTGTTTAGTTATAAGATATCAAAATGAAGTTAAATTGTGCACTTACTGACATTTCTAAGTGAGTTATAGCACATTTCTCATTGGCTTCAATGATCATGAGTAGATGCTTTGCTACGTCACTGCTTATTGGATTCATTCCAAGCTTTGTCAAAAATAAAGTTTCATAATGTCAATATTCAGCTCTTTTAATCATTGAAAAAATGTATACGCCCTCCCTCTAACAAAATCATCATTTTCATTCATTCATTCATTGATTCATTCATTGATTCATTCATTCATTCATGCATTTTTCATTCATTCATTCATTCATTCATTCATTCATTCATTCATTCATTCATTCATTCATTCATCTATTCTTCGTTCGTTCGTATTCTTCATACGTTCGTTCGTTCATTCGTTCGTTCGCTCGATCGTTCATTCATTCATTCATTCATTCACTCACTCACTCGTTCGTTTATTCAATCATTTCATAATTCATTAAAGTCATATAAAAACTTCTTCAATTAGCTCTTTAATCAAGCGAAAATTTGATTATGAGAATATATGTCTGAAATAAAAGAAATTCAAACTAAACAAAAATGTGTTTCATTGTTTCATTTATCTAGAATTTAAAAACAACAGTAGAATAAACACTCAATTTCAGACTAACCTTTAACGTTTGAAGAGTTTCATTGGTTCGCAGTCCGATCATGAACATAGCCATTCCGTTAGCATCGATTCTATTATTAGTAATATCTAAAACACTCAGTTTCTTGTTCTCTGGGAGAGCTTCTCCTAAAGCTTTAGCCCCCTCTTTACCAAAACCATTCCAAGCTACATTTAATGACAGTAGACTATTGTTCGTCTGAAATTAAATTGATGCATTTATAAATACAGTTTGATATATCCCGGCAGCCTGCATGTGTGCATTGTCGATTACTACGCGATACAAATAGTTCTGTAAAACAATTTGTTAAGATGACAAAATATACGTATACATTTTATTAATGTGAAATAGTGTTCGTCTGATATAAGAGTTATATGGATGGATGCAAACATCGTTTGAAATTTCGTTTAGAATCCTGATTATGTTTTTAATGAACTTTTTTTCAGCTATACAATAAACATGCTTTAAGAAGAGAATTTATTTGTTTAGAATTATATAATTGTGTTCAATATCACATACTAAATTGACACAATGTTCAACATTTTCTATGTCAACCACGTGATACTAAGTTTTTCTAGACGGATCATGTGGTTTAAAGATTCTACCTTAAAAAGCCATCGATTCCCTGCTTAATAATCATATGCTTTTACAGTACACGTTATTGGACAACATATCCTCATCAATACAATCAAATGTTTGTGACTATGAGCAATATATACATATCCTACATCATGTTGAACAGTGAGCTACTGATAAATTCTACCGGCCGTTAAACTATTAGCTAATGATACAACCGACCATTCACTATGAGCTATTGATATAATATTTATGAAGAAGAATTGCATAAAATGATGTTTGAGAAATTTGAAAAATATTTGTTTGGATGTTTTAAAGGCTTTACTTCTTTTACCTCAACAGTGTTTCCTTCGTTAAAATCACTTTATTAGGAATGTCTTAAAATAATTAAATCTAACCATATTACCATTTTTGTTATCTTTTGTAATTATGGGTGGTTAACAGGCCCATTATATAAAAGTAACTTTGAAATTTGTCCAATCAGTTATTGCTTTGATAATTGACGCAATCAACGTTAGGTGTGAAAAAAGAATATTTCATTGGTCCTTCCAAAATCTTGGGATAGGCTCTTTGTTTTTCAAATTTTGATTTTTTAAAATCAGTTAATCTGGACTTCCAGGCATAAGGGATACCTTAGGGCAAAAATTACATTCTTGTATCAAATTGGACTTCCATTGTTTATTTGTGGGTGTAAATTTAAAGTTGTTTCATAAACCCACGCAGAAGATATATTTTAATTTTTCTTCAATCCACCCATTAGACAGAAGATGGTTTTTTTTACATAAAAAGGATTTCCTAAATCACCATCATTAAATATGGTATATGTAATTGAAACTATGAGCTATTGTATATCCTAGACATTTATGGAAACAATGTAATAACCTTTATGTTGGTAAAACGAGTTTTTTCATAATAAATAATAAAAACTTTTAATTTACGAGCTTTTAATATATCAACATTAAAACAACTACGAGCTATTGATATTATCCCTTACCCTTTGAACTATGAGCTTTTGATATGTATTTTACCTTTAAACTACGAGCTATTGATAAATATTTTAATTTTGAACTATGAGCTTTTGATATGTATTTTACCTTTAAACTACGAGCTATTGATAAATATTTTAACTTTGAACTATGAGCTTTTGATATGTATTTTACCTTTAAACTACGAGCTATTGATAAATAGTTTACTTATAAACTATAAGCTATTGATATATATCTTACCTTTAAACTATGAGCTATTGATATTGCACCTTTCCCCCTGATGTGGTTCCAGCTAAGATCCAGTTTCTCTAATTGATTCATTATTTGGCTGAAATTGTAAATTTTAATCCAGTGTGTTAAAGGTACTCTAACGTTATAAATTGAAATCGACATTAATAACAAATAAAAGATACTTGGAAAGAACGGATTGTATTGGTATTTCTCATTGAAAAAGATTTTTCTTGAAAATCAATGTAATAAAAGACTTAGTGTTTGCTACTAGCTCACCTAAGTTCATATAAATTGTTGTGTAAAAAGTCCGGTAATTGGATACTTGAAAGTTAATAAGAATAAAAATCCATTAATCATGTCACTCAAATAATGTTGCCGTTAACGCTACCATCCGAAGATAATTATATTTTAACAATTAATAAACAACAGAAGTAAGAAAAAAATACGTTTTAACATAATTGTTCTTCATGTCATTCTTAAAATCCTTTTAGAGAAAAAAAAAACAACATATGACCGCCAAATGCAAATGCGACAAATTACTTCTAAACACGAACCTAATGCATTCCCTATTGCCATAGCGCCCGATTCACTAATACAATTATGGTTTGCCCGTAACCGTAACAAGCCCGTTCTTGCCTGAAATAAAAAATATTGAAATAGAAACATATTTACATTAGTCATCATGTAAGTTATAATAATTAATTCCATCCTAAACGAAATAAAAAGTGTATGCAAATTCTGTTGAATTATATAACATTTGAAGCAAACAATTGTCTTGCTATCCCCAGAACTGTGGGCAACCAACAAAACTTAGCTTAAAGTCGCCATTTGATTTAACAGTATGTATGTGCACGTGCGTATATTCTATATCAGAAATGTTTTAGTGCCATTCTGTAAAATTGTCACGCATACGGTTATAAAAACACCGAGAATTCAGTAATAAAAATATGAAATTAACGAACATGATGTTCGACGATATATGACACGAAAATAAGATATACTGAAACTGTAAATACACAAGCAACGAAATATTAATGTATGAATATACATGTTCTTACAGATTATTTACACGTGATCGACATGTGAAAAACTATAGATATAAAAATTACAGGACAAATTTATCACAAAATCAACAGCATTCTGTCCTGCCCCACACAACGAAACATACCTCTATTAGTTCAGCAAGGCACTTAGCACCCTCATCTGTGATTTCATTTCCTAAAATGAATTAATCAACACAATCAGATTGTGTATGATTAGTTAATTATGCTTGATAATAATAATAATAACAATAATAATAATAATAATAATAATAATCATAATAACAAACAAATGCTTAAGTCAGCTCAAACTCGGAGGCTTGTGCAAATTTGTTGAGAGATTGGTAGTTCCAGACAACCGCGGTTGGTACTTTATCATGAATTATATCATATTTTATGTAGGATATAGGCCTGAAGGGTTTCAAGCGCTTCGAGCGATCGGTATTCGAGCGATCCGAGGTAAAACAATAGATTTATTATATAGAAAGAAATTTTGCCGGGGCTGGACGATTAGTTCGAGAGAAGAGAGGTATTCGAACGATGCGAGTTCGAGCGAACGAAGTTTAACTGTATTTCCAACTGTGCGGCTTTTTGTACAACTACTTGACAATGACATGTTTGTGTCTGCATAAACTGTATTATTTATAAAGATGTCTGACAGAATATCTGGATTACTATATAAGCGGCTGTATACTTCAATAACCCGTTCCGCTTTATAACAAATTTATCATACAGCAGACTTAGTACTGTGTCAAGTGCTGTGTGACAGTCGATAAAAAGTTGCACCGTACTTCACTTCAGTGTTCTTATATTTCTCTGGTCCTTTTGAATCATTGAGTCCAGCACTTTTAAGTGTCGAAAATTGAGTTCCGCTCAAGCCGGTGCTAAGGGGCGTGAGGGATATTGCACTTTTACATTATCCCTCATGTACAGACTCATTCAAACCGAGTCTGCAATTTTCATGTAATTTTGCTGTCTTTAATGCTTCCGAGGGGTCACTTTTTCAAGATATTAAAGGTTATTTGAGAAAAACAAAAATTTCTTCATAAATGAAAACATCGTGTATAAAGATTATATCAACATCACGCTTATTCACTGAAAAGCACTTTTTTATATGTAAACGTGCAGTGTTGGACCGTATTTGGTACAAAAACGAATATGGTACAAATGTACCATATTCGGTCGAATATGGTACAAATGTACCATATTCGGACCGAATATGGTACAATTTTCGACCGAATATGGTACAAACATTGAACCATATGCCGGTTGGGAATTAAGTTTTTCTTATTGCTCGCCAAAACGTATTTGGTTTACATTTACCAAAAAAAAATCATAAAATGAAAATGGCCTACGTTATATGGGTAGCACATAAATTATGTATTTTATTTAATAATGAAATAGGTTCTGGGCCCGATGTGTAAACTTTTTTTCAAACTCAAATACATTGTATTAACCTAATTTGGAAAGTTGAGACAAAACGTATCATATCATCATCATCATTCGTCTTAAGCAAAATCGGTTTGGGGGGTCGAAAACAATGACTAGCCTAACTGTTTGCGTTTAGAGGAAACAAAGAAAAATTAAAAACATTCATTAAAACAGAAACCGCTTCAGAGAAAACAAACATCAACAGAAACTAAGTTTCTTAATCATGTTTCAACACACCATGAAAATCTGCAGTTGTTTGGATGGGGTGAATATTGCCATGACCCAAATCCCGGATGGAAAAATTGTCAATTTGCCTGCCTAATATCGCATCAACTTGGTAAAATTGGTAATATACAAAGACGTAGATGCCTTTTACCGTAAGGAAGCCAGTCCATCACAATTGTAGAAAACAGGATATTTCTAATGAAAACTTTTGTCTATGGATGAAACATTTGCATGAATACGTTAAGAATATGTCTAAGAATGGGACCATACGGCGATACAACCCTCACGCTTCATTGCACTTATGAGAGAATATAATTTGGGGCAGTGCCTGGTAGTTTCCCTACCCGAGGACTTAGAACACTCATCAAATTTGTGTCCAGCAGATGGAAAGTTCGATTGGTGATGTTGGAACAATTTTTGCCATTGGGGTATTTCCAGAAAGGATTTTTGGGGATGGCATTTTACGTTTAGTATCCGTATCAATCAACGCGTGTACAAGGACATAATAATCACGCCTTAGAAACAGTCGTAATGAACAACGGTGACTCTGGCGACAGCGCTGCGTCTGGCGACAACGCTGCGTCTGGCGACAACCCGCTGCGTCTGGCGACAACGGGTGACTCTGGCGACAACGGTGAGTCCGGCCCGACCACCGCTTGCGTCTGGCGACAAACACTGCATCTGGGCGACTAACGATGAACTCTGGCGACAACGATGATCTGGCTACAACGCCTGCGTCTGGGACAACGGTGACTCTTTGCGACAACGAGGTGACTTCCGGCGACAACGGTGACCTTCTTGCGACAACGGTATGACTTCCGGCGACAACGGGGGGGGGGGTGGTTACGGGGACTCCGGCGACAACGGTGACCTCTTCGGCGACAACGGTGACTCCGGGACTACGGTGACTCCGGCCCGACAAAACGGTGACTCGGGCGGACAACGGTGAAACTCCTGGCTACAACGGTTGACCTCCCGGCGACAACGGTGACTCTGGCCGACAACGGTGACGTCTCTGTGTGTTCAGCCCTGAAAGAGCTTCAAGAATATGATAAACAATAGGAGGGTAACAAGAGGCAAACGACTTTTTCCATTTCTGATGTTTACCACTTTCACATTCAAGTTGAAATTTTTAAGTTCTGCATCACCAATCAAACCCGTCAATCCAGTTTGTGTTGGCGAAGGTCGGCAACCCTTTAGAGGGATTTAATAAAGGTCAAAACACCTAGAATTTTACAATTCTCGGCCCCGGATATTGGAACTAGATACTAGTAACAGAAATCCTGTTTTCACGTTCCCGTTTCCTATTAAACAAGAAGCCCGGGCAGAAACAGCGGTCTTATTTCGGCAATAAAAGAAAATCATCAAGGGCCAAAATGGGCAAAACGCATGGCTTGCGTTTGCGTGGTAGTGGAATCGGTTGTATGATATCATAGATGTCCATGTACAGACATTACAGGTTTGGAAATAAACTGTATATTCGGTGTTTTGGAAAACCTGTTTAATGTTATTTTTGTGATTGTGGGGGAGAAAAAAAAATTTTTATGTTCTTCTACCGGAAATTTTTGTTGACATTTGCTTCATTTTTAAATGGTAACTTTTTACGAAGCACATTTGGGATATTTTGGCTGCTACTAAAATGAATGTATATATGTTATTATTGTCTGGTCCCAAAATGCTACAGTTGGAAAATTTTTAAATTTAAATTAAATGCTGTTATTAAGTTTCCCTTCAAATATTTACTTTGAAAAATCCTTGTCAGATATACCAATAAATGAAAAAAGTACAAGTTTGTTGAATCTCTTGAATGAAACAAAATTATAAAATACCAAAATTGTTAAATGAATATGTGATGATGATGAATGACAAAAAAAATTTTGATGAAAATGATGATGGTAAAAAAATTTGTGATGATGAAATGGTGAATGATGAATGGGACCAGTGGTTATTGATGATTGGGGTTTGGATGATTGCCCGGTGGATGAATGATGAATATGTATAATGATGAGATGGTAGATGATAACAAACGTTTTGGGATGATGATGGACAGCGATGTTTATCGGACGATGATGATGGTTATAATGATGATGATAAGATTTTAGATTGATGATGAACGGCTCGATGTTTATCGGCCGACGATTGAATGATAATTGATGATAAACAAAAATATTTGTGATGATGATGATGGCCGATGTTTATTGGCCGATTGATTTTATGATGATATTCTCCATCGTCGTCATCATCAAATCACAACAATCCTCATTATCGACCGAAAAACATCGCTGGTCATTTATTCATCACAAAAAAAACTTTTGTGATCACCATTACGGATCATGATAATGGATTATGATGATGTTGGTTTTGGATGGTGATGATGAATGGTGGTGTTGGTGAAATAACAACGATGATGATCATTGGGGTGTTGATAATTGATGTGATGATGATGATGATGATGATGATGAGATGATAACAAACGTATTTTGATGATTATGACAGCGATGTTTATCGGTCGATGATGATTATTATATAATGATGATTGATTATGATGACAAATGTGTTTTTGATGATGCTGACGGCGATTTTTATCGGTAGAAATTATGATGATGATGATGTGCTGAACCGTCGTTATCATCATTACAAAACTTTTGTCATCATCATCACCATCGACCGAAAAACATCGCAGTTTATCATCATCACATTTTTTGTGATCTTCAAATTACGATGATGATAATGGTGATGAATGATGATGGTGTTGATGATGATGATGACCTTGATGATTGTGGTGATAATGATGGTGATGATGATGACAATGATGATAAAAGTTTGTGATGATGATGATGACGGTTAATTTTTGATCGTTCGTCATCATCATCATCAAAATTTTGTCATAATCATGACGATAATGATGATAATGGCGTTAATGGTGACGATGATGATGATTTGGTGTTAAGGTGACGATGACGATGTAATTGATGATGATGACAATGGTGATGATGATTGGGGTTTGATGATTGTTGATGATGATAACTGCGATGTTTATCGGCCGATGATAATGATTTATAATGATGATGATGAAAAAAGTTTTTTATTATGTTGACGCCAATGATTACCGGCCGCCGATGATGATGATTATGATGATGATGATGATGCTGCTGATGATGAAGAGATGACGATGGATGATTATTTTCCATGATGGTAATTGATGACGTTGTTGATGCAAATTGTAGTAATGATGGTGATGATGATGATGATGATGAATGATGATGATGATGATTGATGATGATATGATGATGATGATGATGATGATGATAATAATGATAATGATGATGATTGGTGATTGATTGGTGAATGATGAATGAGATAACGATGATGATGATGATGATTGATGATGACGATTTATGAGTGTGTACCATATTCGGAACGGAATGTGGTACATTTTTCATTCCGAATATGGTTCAAGTTTTGTACCATATTTGGTCAGGCATTTTACCCCAAAACTGCAGATACGTATATGGTACAATTAGACAGTTGTACCATATTCGGCCGAATATGGTACAAATTTGTACCATATTCGTTTTTGTACCAAATACGGTCCCACAGTGCAGTATAATGAAAAGTACTTTATAACAATGCTCAGCACATGTTTGCAAATACAGCTCTTAACTTAGATTTTTACAATATAAAGTAAACATATAAACATAACATTAATGAATTTCATTTTTCACATATTATTACTTCATTTTGACATCATCATTTATGAGTTATAAATTTCATTGATTCTCTTACCTGAGACATCTAATCTTACTATGAGAATATTGTCCATTACAGCCTGTACTATTGCCTTTAACCCGGGGATGCCTATATTGTTCTCTGCAAAGTTCTAAAAATAATTATTTGAAATAGTTACCATATAAGTCTATTGCCCATTCCCAACATTCTTAAAACATTAATCGTTTAGCATGAACAACCAGATATTGTCACTTTGATTTTAAAATAAAATGAGCCATGTCAAGACAAAACCAACATAATGCGTTTGCGACCAGCATGGATCCAGACCAGCCTGTGCATCCGCGCAGTCTGATCAGCATCCATGCTGTTCGCTATCAGTTTCTCTACTTGTAATTGAGTTGGTAAGCGAACAGCATGGATCCTGATCAGACTGCGCGAATGCGCAGGCTGGTCTGGATCCATGCTGGTCGCAAAACGCATTACGTTGGTTTTGTCGTGACGCGACTCAAATAGGGTGCGGCTTCCAGGGGTTTACACCACTGTCAACATGCATGGGTTTGCAACTGATACAGGTTCTGTAATTAACGGGGTCCAGTCATGTATAGTCTGGGTCAAAATCAATAATTCAAAACGTCCAACAGACAGCTAATTCGAACTAGTCAATACTTTGCTAAACAAAAATGTTTACTTTATTATATCTTAATATATATATTATATTATATATATATATATATATATATATATATATATATATATATATATATATTATATTATACATGTATGTATATATATATATATATACATGTATATATATATATAATATATATATATATATATATATATATTATATATATATATATATATATATATATATATTATATATATATATATATATATATATATATATATATATATATATATATATATATTATAACACAGAATTATAAACTGCAAGGGTTTTTTAACGTTTTACTAATTTTACACAAGATTTATGAAGCCATCTGTATACATTTTTATGCATCCATTTGGTTGCAAGAGCTTGAGAATTGTGCATCCAAGAAGATTTTTTTAGGAGTTTATTAATGCAGGATCCTGCATCCGGTAAATCCCTGGGCTTTGTTGAGATACAATAACTTTACGTAATGATATCGTTTGATCACCGTGCAATTTCTTCTATATAATGGCTAAACATATTCACTACAGACGCATCTAGACCTACCCCTGTTTTATCAATAATCTCAATATCACCTTTTCCAGTTTAGACTATAATATTTTTTTTTCTATATTTAAACAGATATACATTTCGGGTGAATAAACAGAGGACTGTCATGCTCTCATGATCTGTCATAACATTGTATGTAGACGAAATTTAAAAAAAAAAATTAATATGATAATATGCTCAAATACTTACAAGTCGTGTGATGTAAATATTCTGTGTCAACATATCTGTTACATGATATATTCCCTCGTTTCCTAAACTATTATCCCGCAACTTCAATGCATTCACATATTCATTTCTCTACAAAATGTAAAATAGAAAATTAAGATTAAAAGTACTTTTTGCCTTTCAAATTTATTTTTGTAAGTATAGTTAAAAGAATTAAGCGTTACGCATGCGCAAGCGCTTTACCTCGACTTATATCATCATCATCATCATCATCATCATCATCATCATCATCATCATCATCATCATCATTTAAAATCAGTTAAACGGTTTAAGCTGAGAGACAATAATACACGTGTTTTTTCTTTATATGTTTGCTTTAAAAGATGAAGACAGCCTTTATAGATTTAAAGAATTACTTATATGTATAGTTTTTTTCTCATTTAATTATATTTATTAATTGTATTTAATTATATATTTTACTTACTAAAAGCGCTACGGCAGCAAGTTTCATATGTTCATGGCCTATTTTCTTCCCCGTAAGGTCAAAGGTTGAATTTTCAAATTGGTCAACAATACATTTTAATGGATATTTCTTTGCAACTTTGCAAGCCCTTTGATATTTGTCGTTCACCTTCTTGGCCAACGACTTTCTTGAACGACCCTCATCTACACTTTCTGAAAAAGTATGTGAGCCGTGTCACGACAAAACCAACATAGAGTGTTTGCGACCAGCATGGATCCAGACCAGCCTGCGCATCCGCGCAGTCTGATCAGAATCCATGCTGTTCGCTATCAGTTTCTCTACTTGCGATAGAGTTGGTAAGCGAACAGTATGGATCCTGATCAGACTGCGCTGATTTATAAACAATTAATTTCTTAGCAATAATATAAACATGTTTATTTTGCACATCATTTCTGTCTTCATATTTAACAGAATATCTGACGTAGTGGACAATGTTTACAATATCTGCCCTACCAAACGAAGTACATTTAATACATTAATAATATCTGCCGTAATGAACATAGTACATTTAACACGTTCACAATATCTGCCTTACACAATATCTGCCTGAATGAACATAGTACATTCAAAGGGAGACACAGGCAGATTTTCATTTCTTCTTTTTTATTTTTTTATTCATTATTCTGTAAGTATCCTTAAAATGGACAGTTACAGAAACAAAACTTTTCTCTCTTTAAAGAATAAAATGGTGATTTCCTAACTTGACCCACGTTGGTCAGGTTAGATCGTTAAGATTTAACAATAGTTGTCACAGTGAACGTTAAACAATATAAAATAAAAGACTTAGACTTGTTTCATTCATACAATATCCACAAAATATGATTTTATTAACTTCCAGGGTTTGTTCAGGTCACATTATTTGTTTTAAAATTACTCGGTGGTTCTGTCGGCGTTTATTTCGTTTTATATAGATATATTTACGATTTAAAACCAAAAATATATATGGAAGTATAAAACAATGTTACTTTAACGTGATTTGAGTACAAAAGATCATTTTATATTTTTGTGATTAATGCCTGAGTATCCCTTTAACACGTTCACAATATGTGCCTTAATAACCACAGTACATTTAACACGTTCACAATATTTGCCCTAATGAACATAGTACATTTAACAATGTCTGCCTAAATGAACATACTACAATTAACACGTTAATAATAATTGTCTCAATGAACATAGGAAATTTAACACGTTAACAATATCTGCTTTTTAATGTACGTATTATCTGGTGTTATGCTTATAGGACATAAAAAATTGCAATATCTAACTTCGTGTATAAAGAACATTTCACCTATAATCAATATAAAAAATACATTATCGATACCTGTTAATCAGTGTGTAATTTTAACACGTTACACATATAATACTACGAGTGCATTAAACATGTTAAAGCGATACTCAGGCAAATTAATCACAAATATATTAAAATGATCTTATGTACTCAAATCACGCTAGAATAACATTTTTATAGTCCCATATAAATGCTATATATTTTTGGTTTTAAATCTATATCTATATATGTTAAACGAAGCTTAGACGCCGACAGAATCACCTAGTAGTTTTAAAACAAATAATATGACTTGAACAACTCCTGGAAGTTAAATAATGGATATTGTGGATGATGTATGATTGAAACAAGTCATTCATTTGACATGTTCTTAAACGTTTCCAGAGTTCACTGTGACAACTATTGATAAATCTTAACGCTCTAACCTGATCCGCGTGTGTCAAGTTAGGAAACCACAATTTTATTCTTTATAAGGAGAAAATTTTGTTAGTGTATTCATTTTGAGGACATTTACAGAATAATGAATGACAAAATCGAAACGAAGAAATGAAAAATTTGCATGTGTCTCCCTTTAACAATATCTGTCTCCATTAAAACGCCTTTTCAATATGTACCTTCATGTATATTCATCACGTAATCAATTACAAGTACAATGCACATTAAACACGTCATCGATATGCGACTTCATGTACATTTAACATATTATCAATGTTTGTCTAATGTACATGGTGATTTCAGACTTTCAAGCCTCTCTGGTTTGTCATTCGTAACTAGATTTTCTCGAAAATTCCTCGTATATGTGTACGTGTATGTGTAAATCAGCTCAAAAATCATCGTACGAATGAACAATGCATGGATAAATGAACTGATTAATTTTTAAATTGGTTCAATTTTTAATTGATTAATTATTTTTTACATAACATTTTATTTATAAATATTTCAACTGATATTTTACTTATTTATTTATCTAACTTATTAATTTTGAATGAAGTGATTGGAATGTTATGGTCTACGATAAATTTGCCAATAAACACTCTCCTTAATTTCTTTAACAAGGGTTTTCCTTCAGTAAGTAAAAAAATAACTTGACATCAAATAGAAACTGACAGGTTTCTGTCCGCGGTTTTATATTCTGGAGAGGTCTAGGCAATTTTGAAATCGTTTGATTTAACACTTTTGTAATTCTTTTCAACCATATTCATGAAAAATACCTCACGAGTTGCATATCAACTGATATTTTTTAAGGACGAAAAAATCGCAATGTAAATATACCTTTAATTAACGAAACATCTTTAATTAAGTAAATTATGCATATCTATAATCAAATCTTTTACCTCTTACTTTTGACCAGTGTCCTTTCCCCAGTTCTGGCCGTCTAGGCTCCATTTATCTGAAAACAATTACCTCCCAAATAAGACAGTGAGATAATTTATTTCTTTATAAATATGCCCCTAAAACAAACTATTGGTGTATAAACAATTCCCTTATATTTCCACTATAGAAGAGAAATGGTCCCTAGACCAGTGTCAAAATACTTGTAATAAAACAATAGATATAAGGGTTAAATAAATCATAATAGTGTTAAAGATACGGTTTTAGGAGATTAATCGTTTAAGCCGATTAAATGGAATGGATCAAAGATTTATATCACTTTTCTAAATACGTTGTAAGTTCAAAAATGCATAAATTTACGGCACCCATTTGAATAAATCCCACGCTACATTTAACAAGTAAGGTCGATTTATTTTCACTTTATTCTCTTACATCACAGAAAAAAAAACAATTGAAAACTACATCTTGTTTGATTACCATTTTCTTTTCATTTCATGAATATGAATAAAGTTGATCAGAAAAAGAATTGCAAATCTAATTTGACACTTAACATGCAGATATCTTATCAAGTTAACATACGAAAAGAAAAAGTTAATCGTTAACAAAAATCAAAACAAAACAAACAACAACAAAAAGAAAACAAAACAAATAAACAAACAAAAAAATACACATGAATTTTAAACATAATATTATACATACAGATAATTAAACAAAACATCATACCACCTTTTTTATTTTACTTAATAAGTAGAAACTCATTATAACCTAAGCAATAAAAGAAAACAATGCCTGCTATATCGTCGTAAAAATTGACACCAGTCATTGGCAAAATGTTCAATGATGTTTATTTAAATTTATTATTTTTTTACTTGTTTTATTTCATGTTGCACCACTTGTCACAGAATAACTGTTCAAATTCGGCATATTTTTCCTTGAAAATATACGCCTGACCATAAGAAAATACAGTTCACTTTAAGATACGTTCGGTTGTTACAATAATCAGAATCCAAGATAGCATTTGAAGCAGACTTACCGTTGTTTTTGTTGTTGTTGTTTTTCCCCTTCATTAGTGAACATATCTCAGGGGCCGGCATTCCTTGATATCGAATCAGTAATTTCCATTTTTTTCTGGAACTTCACTTATCGGCAACTAATTCCACATAATTTCTATGAATCATCGGAGAGGGGGGTGGGGGGGGGGACAAATGACCGACAATTTATGACAAATATGTGTATTTCACATGTCAGAACGTTTATCAAAAATATTTAACAAACACCGCAAAGTATGAAAATGTTATTCAACGAGAGAAATATCACCATCGCACCATTTATTGTTTTCTGATGTTTATAAATATTTTTCCTGGCAAGTGAATCTGAATACTGTATTGCCAAGCTTTATTTTTGTAAAATATATTTATCCCTTATAATCAATTATTATAAATAATTACCCTTCATTGGTTTTAGACTGTTTTTATCTTTATTTAAAGAAAGCTAGGATTTTTTTTATTGGGTTTAAAGTCACGTTACGTTGAGGGTGAGGTGTTACGCCGTCACTGTTACGCCGTCACTGTTTATTTATTTATTTTATATACAAAATGTACCTACATACATTTAATTGACTTATTATGAATGGTTTTTCTAATCATTTGTCAATTTCTTTTGTTTTGTTTGCAAATAGCATGCTTGATAAAAACGTTAAATATTCGTAAGAAGGTGTTATATACTTGTTTATTATACTTAATCTACCGTATGAAAATTGTCCGTTGATCACTGTTTTACCTTAAATCTATTGTCATCTAAACAATATGTGTTCACATTTGTCTGTTAAGTGTAAAATTTGTGGATACTGTCTCTTTTTGTGTTTTACATGCATGTATTTAGAGGAAAAAGGAATGGGAAAATCTTAAAACTTTATAACTTTATTATGATGTAAATAAAACATTGCACATATTAATTATTTGCATTCGTTTATTTTATTTATTATAAAACTTAATCACAATTCGAAAAAAATTTCATAAGATTTTTTTTATAATGTATGTTATGTTATAAAATTTACGCGGCATCATGAATTCGCGACGTGGCCGATTCGCGAATATTACCGCAAATTAAAACATCGCGAAAAATACCTGATTTACAGTAATCAGCTTTCACGCACCTACGTCACACTACAAGCGGGGACCGTCCGGGATGGATGGGACACCACTGATAGTGTAGATAAATATTTTAATCACGTCATGGAAAATGTAGTGGTTATTCACCCACTGTGGTCCCTAGGTATTCCGGAGGGCATTTGCTCGGTCACCTGGTGAAAACCTGTGGCATCTTCCTTCTGGACACCGTTTGATTTTTCAAGTTAATCGGCTGACCACCGTACGATAAATGTCCCATTGTCGTCCGTTACCCAACCGATTTGTAACCATTGTACATGTACGGTGACTGCAAGGTATACGGGCTAAAAAATAATACGATAACCGGTCAGCTGCGGGATGGGCTATATTCTAATGGCATGTCTTTCCCCCCTTTCTCTTCAGACGGTCCTTCTTCCCATTTTCTGCTAGTCTTTTTCTTCATTTTTTACTTTACCCTCTGACCTCTTCCACTTCCTTTCTTTGCAGGGTGTTTTGGGCATATTGCACCTTTAAAACAAATTCGCCATAAAATTGTAAATGAAACTTAAAGTTTAAGAAGCATCTGACGTGTGTTTCAAATTAGAGAATATTATTTATACCAGATGCCCATATGGGCGACACCTTCAGAAAAGTATTAGTCATGATAAAGTTTGGAGGACAGCCTTAGATACAAAAGGTTACACAAACCACTACTGCTTCTTTTGCTGAAGAAGTTTTTAAGCATTCGTGCATGGGACCTCGATCTAAAGTCCCATCCGAAAGATTGCTTAGTTATATTAGTTCGGCTACCTGGGAATCAAACCACAATGTCAAGATTACAAGTCTCGTGATCTTACCGATTAAGTTATGCTGGCTGCCTGTGGTGGTGGTCGTCGTCGTAGTTTACCCTCTGGATCACGGTTGTAATATAGAGAACAAGAGCTGTCACTGAAAAGTGACTTATGTCCCCCGACAGGAAACTTTGACAAAAAATCCGCAATGTATCCAAAAATATTGAAAATATACGCCCGTCGGCCTTTATATCACACCTAAATTTTATTTATTCCATAAGAAGTGTAAGAGAAAAGGGCTACATAAATGTTACTAAAACAAGATATTACTATTCATAGCTCAGGCGCCCATCTTGTGCAGGGGAACGGAACACGCCGGTGATATGCACATAAAGGGATGGTTTTGATCACTTCTGTGAAGTTTCATTGAAAACTTACCAGCAGTTTAACCCGTGAAAGCCGAACAAGATTTTTCTATTCATATCTCTGTTGTTCATTTTGTGCAGCGGAGCAGAACTTGCCTGCGATATGGTCAACTCTGGATGGTACTGATCACTTTTGTAAAGTGTCATTGAAATCCGACCAGCAGTTTCACCTGTGAAATCCGGACAAGATTTTTCTATTTATAGCTCTGGTGGCCATTTTGTTCAGCGGAGTGGAACTTGACGGCGATATGCACAACTAGGGATGCTACTGATTACTTATGTGAAGTGTCATTGAAATCTGACTAGCAGTTTGACCTGTGAAAGCCGGACAATATTTTTCTATTTATAGCTCTGGCCGTATTATTGTGCAGCCAAGCAGAATGTGTGGCCGATATGCACAACTAGGGATGGTACTTATCACTCCTGTGAAGTTTCATTGAAATCCCACAAGCAGTTTGACCTGTGAAACCGGACTAGGTTTTTCTATATATAGCTCTTGCGGCCATTTAGTACAGCAGAAGATTTTTTCGCCTTGTTATGAATGGTTTCTTGATTTTCCACTTATTTTTTTGCACAGGCATGGATAATTTTCTAGTAAAATAAGCTTATTCGCGCTTCATCACCAAAACCGCGTTGGGGGGGGGGGGGGGTTGGTTCAGTGAAACTTAATAGGATTGTTTAGTTAAAACAGTTTTTATTTAGCAAATTTACTAGCATGTTATCATTTTACATTAAAATTCAATTTTATTTAGTTCCGTCCATTGTTTTCTCGTTTAAGGCACACACATTCCTTTATTTTGGGACGATAGGTTGCTTTTCTTGGAATGGCACTGCTGTGTGACATTGAAGGTTCCATGATAAATGCCATATGAAAACATCTGCGATGTTTTTTTATTCAAAATTTCACAATTTTCGCATTTAATATGTTCCCGTATCAGACTTAAGAGATAATCAAGAGCGAAAACATTTTTTTTAATTTTATATAGAAGTACGAGACGATGTTTTTGTCTCCTTTCTGCTAGAATATCCAAACTGAGGTCGTTAAATAATTTGTTTATGTTACAAGACCTATCCCACATCACGTCGGCATACTCAAGCAAAGGTCTAATGAGGAGAGGGCCTAATATGAACCCCTGAGGTAATCCAGCGTTGATATTTAAAAGTGCAAAAGAAGTATTTGATACAATGACCCTTTGTTTTTGTCAGCAAGATAAGATGAGAACAACTGAAGAAGAATGCTTGTAGAAGAAAGTTTGTAGAGGAGTTATTGATGCCAAATCCTGTCGAAAGCTTTTGATATATCACAAAATACTGCGCGAATTTCTATTCCTTCATCTAGGGCTTCGCTGATATCATTGTAGAGAAAAGGTTCGCTGGTTTTTTAGTTGAATCTCCTTGAATGAATCCTGATTGGAATGATGTTAGAAGTTGATTTGAAATGACATGGTTATACAAGTATTTATGGATGCATCTTTCTATAACTTTTTCGAGACAGCTTCAAAGAGATATAGGTCTATAGTTACATGTTTTTGAAGGATCAGACGTTTTATGCCCCCGTCTGTCTGTCCGTCTGTCTGTGCGTCCCTACTTCATTCTTGTCCGGACTGACTGTAACTTTGTCATACATTGAGTGATTTTAAAATAGCTTGGCACAAATGTCTACCACATCAAGACTATGTGTCACTTCCAAGGACAATGTCCCCCTCAAAGATCAAGGTCACTCTTACATTTTGAAGTTTTGTGCATCCTCACTTTATTCGTGTCTGGACTGTAACTTTGTCATACATTGAGGAATTTTAAAATAGCTTGGCACAAATGTCTACCACATCAAGACAATGTGTCGCATCTAAGAATTACGTCCCTACCTTAAAGGTCAAAGTCATACTTCCATTTTGAATTTCACATTATCACAATAAAAGTAAATAGATCCAATACAAGCGTGTCCGGGCTATAACTGTGTCATGCATCAAAGGATTTTAGAATAACTTTGCATAAATGTCTACCACATCAAGACG